AGTTGCCCCCTCATGTGTAAATAATGTCCTGCGAAATTGAATGCGGCTGCTTTTCTTTATTCGATGTTTTCCTTTTTCGGGATTGGCATTGACCCGCCACCAGTAATAACTGAGTTTTGCATTATTCGTATAAAAAATATGTTTCACGGAGAATATATGTTTCTCTCTCATAAAAATGAATTCAAAATAATAATAAAAATACAGAATAATAAAAAAGGAAAATGATCTGCGAGTTGTTTATAGAAATATATAGCGTATGTAAGTTATTGTAATGAATTTAAATGTTATATTTTACACATTTATATTAAACGAAACTTATATTGGTACCTACAGAAAACATGTGAAACAAAGGAATCATTGCTAAAGAAAGTAATATGCATCGTTCGATCGCATTTAAATCCCGTTGACTTGCTTTTTTAAGCCCGCGTGAATTGATTCAATTGGAATATGGATCAAATAGAACGCGGATTGAATGAGTTGAAACGCGACGTACGCGTTTATAACAGAGGTCCAGCCTACGAGAGATTCGCACTTTCGTTTCGGTTTTCTTTACATGCTCCGCGTGCCAGATGAGACAGGATCTTCCTTTCCTCTGCGATCTTGATTTTACACCAGGGCAAGAATTCCTTCGATCAAAACAGCAATGCGCGAAGATGCATTGCTCACGCGTGTTGCCCGCGACTTTGTTTTTTACCTAGTTCTTTGCTCGCTTTTCACTTCTACATTTAACCGTTTTACGTGCGTTTCGAATATACTTAAATATATAATTTAATCATTGCATAGAAAAAGATTTAACATTAACAATTTAATAATTTAATAAGATAAAGCTTCTCGTAACAATATAATCATTAAGATAAGTATAACTTCTCATAATAGGTATTATTTACCTTACAATTAGTATTACATTATTATATTAATATATACATATGAATATCATAAAAGGAATTTTCGGATTGAAAGAAAATCCGGATACCATTAGGAACTTTAAGATATGTATTGCAAACATTAACTGCGTATGTACGATATAGTAGATAGTGTGTAGATTGAAGTTAAATGTGATATGGTGCGATAAATCTGGAATATATGTAGGTATATGATCGCTTTGGAAATTGTAATACGAATAAACATCCTGCTCGAATTGATTCGGTCTTGGTGCAGTCTCAATTATTTGTAGAAGCCTGTTTATCAATTGGGCGCCACGCAGAAATAGTCAAATTGCACTCGATCTCTCCCAACTCCCACTTGGTTTCAATTATAATAAATCTTTTAAATTATATTAATCTTAATTATTTATCATTAAAAATGAATTTTTGAAATTACGTAAATAATTATTAAAATGTATTTATCTTTTAGAATATTGATTTTGTTTATGTATTTTCCTATCTTAAACTCCTATCAAAACTCTGAAACTTGTGTAGTTTTTATAAGATTGATAGGATTAAAAACTAGAAAATTATGTGAAATAACAGTTTCCGATTGAATCTTTGTTAAAGGATCAATTTAAAAATTCTTATAGGTTACAACTTTATTATTTTATTATGCTGCATTACTTTTAATGTCGTTTTATATTTTTTGCAAAGGAGCAAGAATTACTTGTATGAGCAAAAATAAAGATAATCAGAGGCGCCAGGAATAATTAATATTTGTTATAGCATGTCCACTGTTCACTGAAGGCAAACAACATTCTCGTTGATCCCGCGACCGATTTTTACCGATGAAAATACGTTTTCTGTTATATTAGAAAAATTCAAACGACGGAATGGATAAGCGCCAAACGGCATAATGTCGCCAATAAACACATTTTTCACGTCGACGAGAGAGAAATGATTCTTTTTTCCTGAATTCCTTCTTTTCGTCGCGACAAATTTACCGGCATTTTGGCGCGAGTTCAACGACTTACGATGTCAGTCTGTCATTCACAGATAACGTGACGTAATGAATATCTAACAAGACTGATATCCGTCAACCTTACCTTATAGTAACGATACATATGAGTAGTAAAAGGTATGCTTTCAACGGATGATAGTGACGCGTGACTGTTCTCGAAGAATAGAGTCACGTACATATATTTAAGAGTCATTCATACGTGCATCTCTGATATAATATATGCCATTTAAGCCTCTTATTGTTAGATCCAATCGTTTTCATTTTTGTTAAGCATTTCACTCAACTCTAATCATGTGAGATTTATTTAAAAAAACGATAAATATTTTGCCATATACATATAAATATGAAAGAAATTTAAAAGCTACGTACATATAATCAAATAATTTTAATTTTTAATATATGTGGATGTATTCATTAATTCTTTTATATTATTTTTGAAACATTATATTCGGATATATTATGTGAATAGTCGAATAATTCCGGCGAATTTTATTATCGCATCGGAACCAAGAAGTTAACTTTGTATCGAAAGTCTATTCGGAATGAAAGAAGCTGTTGAACTGGAAGGACGATTGTACCGAATACATCGGTTTCTCGGGTATTAGTGCAGTAATACCCGAGAGTGACTTCCGGCATGGCGAAGCGTCCCGTTTGCATTAACGCTGATAATAAATTCGGAGCGGACGTTTTATGCAAGGCCTTGCGCGTGAATTCCAACGAAATTTCATCCATTATACCTGTCAGCCGCGGTCACGCTTATCTACTTAAATGGACATCCATTAAATCGCGATTTTTTTTCAACTTCTTGGATATAAATCGCAATTAAATCTACATTCTTATATTTTTGTTAGACTCACAATGAACTTTGTTATTTATTTAAGTAGTTGTCAGTTAATATCTTCTTAATATCAAGTGAGGGCAAGGATAATTTCAGAATAAATCTTGAAAGTCAAGTTGCAAATCTAGTTATTTATTTTAAATTTTAGTTTCATAATATATTTAGTTTAAAAAGCAGTAGCAAATTATATAAAATGACTATATTAGTAACAAGAAATAAAATAATGTAAAAATAATAAAAAAATAACCTTGGATAATTTTTTCTCGATTATAGTTTTTTTTTTCGAAGAAGAACATTATTATAGCAGAAAATAATTTTTGTTAATATAAATATATTACTAAATATTGTGAAATATATGAGGATATTTTACAAAAATATTTCATTATTAAAAAAAAGGAATTTTCTTGAAATTTGTTCGTTACTTGTCCGCTGTTTCATTGAACCGTTATTTTATAACGAAACCGTGGGAGGCGCATGTAGGTGGCAGATCGAGATTTATGCAGCATAATTACAGTTTTGTATTAATTATTGGTTTATTTATTTGCCCGCGAGATAAGCGATTAGCAGGCGATCTGTGAAACTCATTGATTCGGAAAGGAGGATTCGGATGAGCAGGCACATCGCCCATTGATTTGAGTGGGAAACGTGCACTTAGCTCGTGTCAATACCACGAGGCTTTAGAAGTATACATAAAACAGATTTAAAATCAAGTGGGACAAGCTTATAATGAAATAATAGAAGAAAATATCTGAAATATAAACGACTTTTGTACACAAATCATTAAGTCAGCATAATCTGCTATCATCTGCTATATCATACATTAAATATACGTTTAAATGCTTTAATTTCAATTCTGAGTTTTGATTTACTATATTAGACTATTACCAATATAATACAAACTTGTATGTTTTTTTTTTATGTAAAATTCTTTTGATTAAAATATATAATTAGAGAAAAAAATTATGTAAATAATTGTTTATCATGTTTTTGTGCCAAGTTGCCACCTATTTTAAAATTTTTAATAGAAAATTTGAAGTTTTAAATACAAGAAAAAGAAATTAAAATTTATTATAGCGCATAGTTTACATGAAGATAGAAGTTTATGTGGGGAAAGTTTGTCGGATAAAATTTATATTCCATTATTCCGTTTTGATTTTATGTAGAAAGAGTTATGATACACTGGCGCGACGCCGACTTCCGGTCATTTTGCAGAAATATGCCGGTTTATTATATAGATATCTCCATAGTGCGCTTTTACGATTCAGTAACGATGTCAACGGCGATTCCACTGTAATGCATAACATAATCATGCAATTAAAAGCCAAAATATTTTGCTGTTTAACTTCTACAGGATAATTATATATAAAAAATTAGAGAAGCGGAAAATTGATAAAATTCTAAGCCTCGTTAATATAAACGAGATTATTTCGCTTCACGATCTAGACGTCACGCAACAAGACTATAAATAAGCATATCTTATTTTATCTTTAAAAATATATCACAAAGATGCAATTTCTCAAGTTACAAAAATAGTATTACAGAATAGGCATATGTTACGTTATTTCAGAGTCACGTTACATTGCAGAGAATTTGAAAAATAATTATTCATTGTAAACATTTCTCGCATTTATTAAATCTATCTATTTAAAGTAAAGTCTCGAAATATCTTGTGTCGCGCGCCGGAATAGAATTGCTCCGAATTCTCGCAAAGTTTTTTTTAACGACCCACAGACTCGCGAGGGAGGAAGACCTCCCTCGGACGTCAGCAGACTTCTTCTCGAACCTGGCGAGAGCCAAGAAAGAATTTCGCGGCCGGCATTGGTCTTGCCACGGCATCACGCAGTGGCCTCCGTCGCTTCCGGTAACGGCGCGACGTGTCTGACTTTTAATGGTAGCGCGGCTCACGAATTCCGGCGAGTCTCATTCATCGGCGATGGCGTATGAATAAATAAATAAGATCGTGGCCGACAGTTATTGGGGGAATGCGCGAACGTTCGCAGTAATTTACGCAGCGGCCCGCATTTTGCGTGCGTAAGTGCGTGATATGTGTCCGTCGCGTGAGCCGCTCGCTCGTAACTCAACCGAGATCGTTAATATTCCATAGGATGAATCTAGCTCGTTAGTCCTCGTGCAAGGCAGCCAAGGACAATTCACGCGAGCCGTAATCTCTCTCGCGCGAGGCAAGATTCGTCCTTCTTTTCACTTTATTTTTGCACGTGTCATCCTTCGCTCGATCGTCTTTTTAGTCCGGCTTGTAACACGATTTGAATTTCAGGGTGAAGGAAGGATGAAGAATGCCCCGCGCTGGCGGAGGAGACGGGGGTAGCGGCCCCCAGAGGACAGGTGGGGGTGGCTTCGGAGGATGGCTGGGTGGCGCTGCAAGGGCCATGACGGGTGGAGGCGTCGGTGGCGGGTACGTTGTTCTGGGTGGCACCAGATACGGTTTGCGGATCTCTCAGGTATTGTGCAGTTCATCCATTATTATGCGGCGATAAAATTCAAAATATCAGATTACGAATAATATGAAGAAAATAGAAGTTTTACAAAATTCTTTCTTGATATCATTCAAGACATTATTATCAGATATTTGTACTTCAAAGAATTACAAAAAGAAGTTTTTATTTTAATCGTTTGCAGTCAGCAGTTTACTCATTTTCTAAATGCATTGCCGAAGTAAAATTAAAAAATAATAATTTAGAATGTACTTTATATAAAATATTTTGGTTTTTTATTTAACAATAAGATTTGCAGCAAATTATTTTTTATATTATTCTATAAGAGAGAAAATCTGCATTATTTTAAATTCTACTTAAACCGGCTATTTTCTTTAAACCTCGTCTGGTAACGATCTTCAATCGTGTCGCGAAAATTAAGACGTTGAAGGATCTAAATTTAGAACCAATCATACAAATAGAATTCGCCAGTCACTGACTTGAGCCGATTTTAAAGTGACTCTTCAATTCTCACCTCTGCCACTCTTTCTAACTTTCCGTCTTTCTTTTCATGGTTTGTCCGCGGAATAATAAGCACCGTCGACGTCACAACGACACATACGACCGACGTGTATCTCATGTGACACATTCCCGCGCCGTCCTCTGTGCCAAATTCTGCCCGAGACCCGTATAAATCGCCATTATTTATCGCCGTGTAGATCAATGACGCCATTATCGATTCCGTAAATATTATCTTGATGATATAAAAAAGACTGGTTGAGATTTAGGAGTAACGCGGCGAAGATTTACGAAATGCGATACGCCCTCAGAAAGAATACCTAACGTAGTAGTACGTTTGCATGTACATCATTTTCTTGTAAGTTTAAAAATACAAGATGCATTTGAGACAACGCGGGGAACAGTGTCCCTAAGTAAAGGGACATGAGAGAAATGGAAGGAAACGAAAAAGACGCATCGCCCCAGACGGAGAAATAAAGCGAATATGAGGACGTGCTTGTGAAATACAAAGAAATAGCGAATAAGTAACAAAGATATACGAGGCGCCCTGAAGAAGAGCTAGCATAATTCTATTTTCGAAAGAATTTAGCGACGATTTCTCTTCGTAATTTGATTTAAATCTTTTATTCCAATACTTTTAGCTCCAAATTTACATCTGAATAAGGACGTTAAAAAATATATATATAAAGTATACGATGTTCAACATTTTATGAACTACTTTAGGAAATGAAATAATAAACGTTGAAGCGTACGTAGTGTACGTACGACTTTTGAAATAAAAAAAAATATTGATAGAGTTATTTCTTAAAGAGGAAATATCAGGTAAACTTAGGACGATCAAAGAGATTAAACGACGATGAGAATTGCTTTACGAAGAATCGAAGATTGTGTTTGTTTGTTCCAGGAGAGCCTGCCGTCTGCCAACTCCAGAGAGGAATCGCAGGAGCGCCGGCGGAAGCGGAATTCGCGCGAGGGCGATTCGCGGGAGCGACTGACCGAGAGATCGGTGGCGGAAAAACCGCCGATCGATCTAACGGCCAGCATCGCCGATTGTTGCTGCATCGGTCCACGATCGCGCCTACCGCTCCCACGAATCCCGCCGGCGATCTCCGCCCCTTCGACCGTGTCCTCGACGGCGACAGCAGCATCGTCCGCGTCGTCATCGTCGGCGTCGTCGTCGTCATGCCCTTCGATCGTCGCTGGCGGTTATCCCTCCGGGGGTATCGCCGCCGACTGTTCGCCGCCTCTTCCTGCTTCTACCGCGAGCGTCGCGGAGACGACGCCGACGCTTGCTAATAATAGTCGCGGCGCGGCTCAAACATCGGTGGGGAACATCGGCAGCACCAGCCAGCAGCAGCAACAGCAGCAGCCGCACCACTACCAGCAGCATTATCCACAAACAGCAGTGGCGGCGGTAACATCGTCGTACTCGCCACCGACGACGACGCCGTGCTCACCCTCGACGTCGCTCGGCTACTTGTCCGGCGTTCCGACGACGACGCAGACCGTCTCCGTGCCGCGGCAGCTCGCGCAGTGGACGAAGCATCAGACGCTCAAGCTGCAGGTACTTGCCTCAGTCGATCGTGCGCCAAGATCGATCGTTTGTTCCTCGCTTGTTTAGTTAGTTCAGTTAGTCATTCCGTTTCTTTGCCGTTCCATTATTCGTGAGTGGATCGTTGTTTCGCGATGGCTCGTTTCGATCGCGCTCGTCCGTAGCCTGCGTAAAGTTCGAGTTTCGCGCGTAGACTCGGTGAGGTGCAAAAGGTGGTCACAAGGGATACAAAGTGGAGTGGCTTAGGTCCGGAAGATTCTGTGTCAGCAGCCCCGAGGTAGGTCTCAAGGTCACCGCTAGGAATTTTATCTCTTCGATGACACCGTGAATTTTGTTGATAACAGGTTTGAAATTACTTTAATCTTCGTGGCAGACTACATTACAAGCAGTTTTCGTCTTAAAAGAAAATTTTTTTCCTCGATTTCCAATGATCAAAGAAGTGAATAACTTTGATTTACCTATATAACTTTTGAAAAAAAAAATACCCTACTTTTTTATTAACTACTTATATATTTTTTAAAGAATTTAATAATGATATTCCTCTTCCAAAATTTTCTATTTAAAAAGATTTCCAAATTCTTAATTGTAGTATGATAAAAAGAATATTTAATACCATTTTATCAACTATAATCCAATTAAACTGCTCTTTTCCATGGACGTATTTTTTTGTTTTCAACTTTACAAAACAGTCAACGCATCCACTTCGCCTTGAAACGCTCGCGGTTTCACCGCGCCAAGGAAATTTATCAGCTTGCAAAGAGGAGTGCCAAAATTCACGTTTGATCTTTCTGCACATTCGAACAACTCGGTTTCTTCTTCTTGCTTTTTAAAATCATGCATTTGTGTAGCCGCCTGATTTTTGGATCATCTCACACGTATAGCGTCGCGGTACGTTGCCGCTCCGAGAGGGAAAATATAAAGACGACGACGAAAATAGAATATCGCTTCTTCTTATTCGACTAGACATTTATGCGCGCGACACATAAGAGTTTTTGATGACCTAGGCCTGCCACTTTACGCATTCGCCCGCGTGACATACTCTTGCATCGCTATTATCATGCGTCAGTCACTACACAAGTATGATATACACTTGTGTTCATGAGAAATATTTGCAAAGCAAATTTTTTTCTTGCGTTTATATTTATTTTATACATACATATATATATGCAGTTGTTTTGGAAATTAGAAAAAAAGTATAACTAAACTAAGAGCCTTACTTTAAGCTGCAGACTGGTTAGGTAACTCTATCAATATGCAAATCGTTTATTAACCGATATTTTAATATCAATCGGAGAAAGACAATTTTTATTATTTCTGTCAAACCTTACCTTGATATTAATTTAGAATGATTGGTTTAGGAGTTATTGAAAATAGATAGCAGGGAGAATGAGAAATAAATAATTTTTTTTTATCGACTTGGCTTTACGTGTTTATCGGAGCTATTGCAAGCCGTGAGATTTATTTGTTCTCCCCTGACCGACTGCAGGAACCAGCAGTGATAGCGGTGGACCGATTGCACAGGTTTCGTTGGAGCGGGGGCGGAGGAGGAAGTGGCAAGAAGTCCTCTTCCGGCCCCCGCAGCGAGAAGGCCGAGCGCCTTCGCGAGCTCACCGAGAAACTCAAGGGACCAGCACCGGTTCCGCCACCCAGAAGACCGTCGCGAGTGCAGGCTTTCTCCCCTCCTCCGAGCGGATACCAGCCGTCGTCTCAAAATTATCCACAGGTGAGGAATTCCAACGTCATAGTGACGAGAGACGTCTTCTGCTACGCACGAACGAGTGATATTTTACACAACTGGACTTTTTTTATACTTTCGAACGTTCGCTATTGCCAAGAAAAAGAATATTTATTATTAGCGTTTGAACATTATTACGAAATCAGGCATATGCAGAAATTATTTAATAATTTGTATTACTTGTAATGTGGTTTTTTAGTATTGCAAACAAAGGAGGTATTCTTCCATTGTATTTGTAGAAAATGTCTGTGTTGCTAAAAATAATTGCATTATATTAAGACAAAATCTTTATCTTTCTTCAATTTGTGACACTCAATAGCATTAAGAAGAAAGATATAAATTAATATTAAATATTTCAAATATTTATTTTTTATTTTAAGAGAAAATAAAAATAGATATCGGGATATATTTCGTAGGACATAGTCAATGCTTCTCATTAACGAATCTCAATGTCCATTTTGCCGCTTATATCCGAGAAGAGATTTGCTGAATTTCATGATTCGCGAGACTTCTTTGTCATGATTTCGCTGAACTAGATGCATGCCAAGGCGCATAAAGATGATCGCTCTCTCATAATCCACACAAATTGTCATTTAGCTCGTCATAATTTTTGTACATTAAATTTCTGTTATTCTGCTGCCTCCAATAAATTTCTTGTTATAACGTCAATAGTGATATTATTACCTCGTAACAGGAATTAATACACATGACGTCAAGTTATGCAAATTTCAATAACATTTGATCTACGATAATACTTTAATAATCGCGCATGAATTATTTCCGGATTTAGTGTCTATATGACATAAATCTAATTAAAGTCCGCCCACACAAATAAAGTGGGTGTATTTCCAATTTGAATAAAATCACGCATTTTTGCTAGACTTAATTCGACGCAATATAAAGCCAAATTAATCTAATTTTTTGCGTGTTTTTCTCAGACGGGCTTGAATCCAAATTGTGGCCGTTGTGAGGGTCGCTCATCTCATCGCAGCTATACATATAGCGAGGGCAGCCAGCATGGTAATAGCAATCAGGAATTTCAACAACATCAGCAACAGCATCAGCAGCAAGAAAATCCGAAGACGATGGTCCGTAGTGAAAGTGTCAGTGAAGAGTGTCTCAGTGATCGCTCGGGAAACAACATATACCGGAAGTCCTGCCACGACTCGAGGAAGACCTCGAGATCAGGCAGACCCGAGAGAAACAGTGATGACGTCAGTGACCTCAGGAGCAAACCGAATGCCAATGCGGAGGCGGCGAAACACTTGAGACAGTACAGTGATTCCGTGGTGAACAGTGCTACGAGTGACGATTTGTGCGATAACCTGAACGCTTCCGTTGGCGGTAACGAGGGGGAGGCCCGGGATGCCATCACCACGCTGGAGCCGCGTGGGCTGCTCGCCTTTCACAGATCCGGCGCGCCCTATAGGAGTGCCTCCTTCAGCCAGGTGGACTTTAATCAAGGTAAGCTTCCGTGTGACGGCTGAGCTCATTAGGGGCGTCTTGCAAGCTAGGTTTAATTAAACCAATTACAGCAAGACTGATGCAGATTGTGTCTACCGTAAGATTTACTTTATCGTCGTCATGCAGAAGGAAAATCGAAGACGTGCGATCAAGTAGAGTTTCTTTAGCTATATAGCTCGGTCGAATCTTTGAAAAGAAAAATGTTGCTTTTTTAAATAGCTTTTTAATTCGATAGCGATCACAATGCGGCCAATGCTATTTTCATCCATAGAGTCCTTCTCTTAATCCACGATCCACACGTGTCTTCACAAGATACTTTTGGAAACACGGAACTGAAGTAACGCCACAGTGACAGCCTTGTATTAGGTTTCAACCCTGAACTACATACCACAGTAGTTTTGGTTGCATAATGAAAGACTAGAAATAAGAAAAGCGCTAAGTGCGACTGTTCGAATTTCTAATGATAGTAATAAAACATCTGGCATCCTTGACCCGTATTATCTTTTTAGATCACCACAAGATTTCAATTGCTTCGCACATTCATATCTTTGATAAGAATTTTATGCGCTCCTAACAGCATTAAATCTTACTGAAATAAAAAAAAAAGAAAATATAATATTTACGTAAATTTATTAATACAATAATTTGATTGTAACACTTTATAAAAACATATAAAAAACGATTCTATATTACTAAGAAAAGTGTCAAATTTATTCTATAATTAAATACATATTATTAAAAGATATAAATATATTAATATAAATATATATCATTAAAAGATTTATTAAAATAACAATAACAATTTAAAGTTCAAGTAACAAAATATATGAACGATACATCTTTATGACGACATTGAAAGCGCGAAAACGCGTCGCGACTCATTGGCAAGCCGGAAACACTTCACGCTTCCGCGGTAACAAATCTTTCGAGACACCTTTTACGCACGAAAGGCGGGCTGCGAGGACGGATAACCAGGTGCTTTTGAAATATCGTCGCCAGAACTTTTCTGCGCTTGCCCAAATCTCTTTCCGCGAGCGGACGTAGAAGCCAAGTCTATTTATCTGACTGTTCTGTTTATGTTGTATAGAGCTTGTGTGAATAAATTTTATCGGATAATTGTATACAGTATGCTTTGATATTTGCATTTTTGTGATTAACATTATTTAATTCGAAATTAATAATTTATTATCTCAAGTGTTACAATAGCAAAAAATGACTACCCGGTAAAATACATATATTCAAAGTTATATAATACAATTTAATTATTCTTTAACAAATAAAATCGAGAAAAATATGTTTCATTTCTTACGGTTTGATTCTGCATAAAGTTGAATTTATATTTTTCGTAATTTCATCTTCTCTGAGGATACTCACTAAATGATTATATTTATGTTCATATTCATATATGTATGTGATAATGTGAAAAAGTACTATAATTGGCACATGATACATTTTTTTGTATTCACAACGTTGAAAGTAAAATTTTAGCGAAATTGTATTGATATATTTTTCCGATTTAATCGTACGGAATAAAATTTTCTATCGTGTATCTTAATCGGTCAGCCGCGTTCTCCGGAACTCCGCCAGCGAAGTGCGCGCCGCTTCTCGCGTCTTCGTGATCTCTCATCTCGCACGGTCTGTTTGTTATTATTGGAATGGTCCACCTCCTCGGTCTAAGAGCGCTGCCAAACTTACGTGACACTCGAGGAGGTAATTAGGATTTCCTCTAGTGCTCTCTGCGTTTCTCGCCTTCTCTTACGACCGAGAGAGGCGGCCTGACTGTTGCTCGGTGCAAGAGTACTCGAGTTATTATTGAAAACGCGCGTAATACGCATCTCTGGAATACGTCATTCGAAAGGTATCTGTAGAGACCACTTGAATTTGTACCAAAAAGCTTTCTTATAATACACGCAATTAACAGTAATAATGATTAGTAACAGTAACGCGCTTTAGACTAAAATCTAAATTTGCTTTACATTTTCTATATTATTTATCTTTTCAACTTCTTTTATCCTGAAATAAATTTTCGTCATATTTTATCTGTATTATTATTACTAAAAATATTCAATATTATATAAAATAATAACGCATTGTATTTTTGTTTCTAAAGCTTTACAAAATTACTACAAAAATCCAATAATTATTAGATATAAAATAACGTAATTCTACAATTACGTTATTTTCACAATTTTCTGGCTATTCTATTATTACAATGGAAATAATTTATACTTTTATTCTCCAGGGATTTTCCATTTGCCAAGAAACATTAACAACGTTAATATATTGCTTCTGATAAATATATAACGTATGCAATATTTTTCCATGGAATACTGTATTTAAAACGCTATAAAATGAGACAGAAATATAAGGATAAACTTACTAACAACTCGTGATTTTCTGTAAGATGCAGATTTTACTTTCAGCGCAAACTTGCACTTTCCTCTTCCAGCGAATCGACAGAAAAGTCAGCCGATCGTAACGTCCAATCGCTCTGAGACCAAAGACGTTCGAGCGAGCACGTTACCTCGTCGTCGGGGTGATGTCACACCGGGTAGCTTGACACCACAAAACAGCCCCAATCGACAGAGTCCGAGGACGTCGACGCCCAGCGTCGACAGCGCCGTCGGTTCTGCCGAGGGTCTGGGTGTTTCGCAGCAAGGGAACCACGAGGAGATACGACCCAGAAGCGATGGCTCAGACAGTCTGGCAACTTCCAGCGCACTCACCAGCCCGGAACCACTAGTTCCGGAGACGAACCAGATTGAGCCCAGGGTCGATTTGGTGCAAACGGACTCGCCCGCCGTTGAACTCGTTGGCCACGAATCAGTGTATCCGGTCGTCGAAGGAAGCATCGTGGAACAAACTATTCAAAAAGGTTAGATTCGGAGGATAAAAATATTTACTAGTTTTTTATATTTAATATTTATTAGCATTTTAACATTTCATAGGCTTAATATCACTAGAGAAATTACGACCGTCTTGAGAAAATAAAAAGAAATATATTCTCTCGTAATTGTTTTAGAAGTGTATGTCAATTATATTCGACTTTATTTTATAATTTAGAATAAAAAGTAGTAGTCCCTCTAAGTCGGTAATTCGTACGTATAATATTCGTGCTTCAATAATTAAGCTTTTATTTTGTCATTAAGTTTTGCTTTATTTTACTTTATTTTATTTTACTTGAAGTTTTATTTACTATGTTACAAATTAATAATTTCTAACTCCTATATTATTTTAATAAAAAGAATCACATGTGCCTCTTTCGGCACATTTTAGCGTAATCTCGAAGAAACGAAGCAAAGTTTCCATTCGCGATAGTGGGTCGATTGTATGCGTGAGAGATATCTCAGTAGGATATAAAACGGAAATACACTCGCGTGGGAGTCCGCGAGTGCGCGAGCAAGATCTGCTTGCTCGAATTTCGCCGCGGCGCGCGGCGTTGCTCATCATCGCGAGGAAACAACGACAGGAAACGAACGGCGAACAAGGCGAAGAAACGCGGTAGCCGCGACGCGACGGTAGGATACCGTCGTCATCGTTGAGAAATGCGCGTCAGTTCATTATTTATTGTGAATAGAACGCGGTTCCAGGCGCGTGTGAGAGCGACCGTGCGTGAAGTCATCAATGAAGATGGCTATAACTCAATGACGCTCAAATGTCTATTTCCATTCTGGCACCCACCGTTCTGAAAATAGTACCACGCAAAATAACATGGAACTTGCGTGCACCTTTGTACCCGTGCTCCTGTCGATGCACCCAAAATAGTTCTCGTTCTCTCCCGCGCCCCCCCCCCCCCCCTCCCTCCGCATTATTCTTTGTCCATCGTCTCTGACATCACGAGATACATGAACGCCTACTTGATCTGATCCCATATGTTGATAAACTCTGCCTTCTCTAAGATCGAATTTGCAACGATGAATTTTCACGCTAAACTGTAAACTTCTTTGGAATTTCCAATTTTGGCACAAATTAAAGTGACTTTAGAATTAAATTTAGTTTTGTTAAATTTAACCAACCATATAGCGCTCCTTTATCTCAAAGTCTGAAAAAATCAAGAAACGCACATATTATTTTATAAATGATGAAATATTCGATGCAGACAGAAATAAATCACAAAGAAATTTATTTCTTATAATTCGTTTTATATTAAAAAATTTAACTTTCACCAGCTAAATAAAAATTTACAGTTTTACACAGTAACAGAGGGGAATGAGAACTTAAGGAGGATTATAGAATTTAAAGCTAATAAGTATTCAGGTTCTTAGCAAAAGTATAATCAAGCTAGAAGATGTGCTGGGAGAACGCCTAAGAGTCTGCTTCTATTCTTATATCTAGTCTTAAAATATATATCTTAAAATATAGTCTTTAAGTATACAAATGTTTCGGAACAAACTCACTCTATAGTTCCGAACAAAATATATATCATAGTAGTCTATAGGCTACTAAGATTCAAGCTCGGACCGTAAATGGCGTTTTATTCTAATTACATAGGTCAAACTCGGACCATAAATGGCGTTTTACTCTAATTTGAAAACATATTTTCTTCGGAACTATAGATTGAGTTTGTTCCGAAAATGTTACGACCCGAGCTTGGATCATAGCAGTTTAGTACTATTTTTACGTGTATATTATACACATATTTTCCAACTTAGTAAACTGCACGCCGATTCTTTGTTGGACTTAAAACACAGTTATTTTAATGTTCCAACAATAACTGTGTTTTAAGGCTGACAAAGAATCGGCGCGCAATTTACTAACAATAAGTTGGGAAATATCTGTATAATATACACACAGAAATAGTATTGGGCTACTAAGATCCAAGCTTGGATTATAAATGGCGTTTTATTATAATTTGATTGTATCATAACGGTCTTATTTCTCATAATTTTAATTAACTATATTTTGCTTGTTGTGAAAGTTTGAAGTTCAAAGCTGCTGTTTCGTTAATTTCATATAGATTCTTCTCTGATCGTATTATTGATTGGCAGAAATAAATCAATATTGATTTGTTTTGACATACGATAGTCAGACAAGAATGACAGAATCGTAAAAATGGCTTTTAGAAACCAGGATAGAGCCGCACGAGGTGATCATCACACCACCCCCGGAGGAGCCGCGACTGAGTCAAGCGAGCGAGGGCAGCGAGGCGCCGAGCGAGACGCCCTCGGAGGCATCCTCGCCATCCGGCAAGACGAGACGATATCGGGGCGACACTAGCAAGAGGAGGAAGGGCGTGTACATAACTCAATGGCCAGAGCCCTTGGACGCGGACAGGAACAAGCTGTCGGCTCAGAGCAGCGAGGAGAGAGACGAGCCACCTGCGACGCCTAGCGACCTGTCCGACTGCGAGGGCCACACGCCTCGAAGGTAACCGGAGAACCTATACATCCAGACCCATCGAAATAGAACGGAAGTGCGCCTGACATGGAGACGCGACGATTTAACGTATATATTTCTTTTCCATTTTCAATTTTGCGTTAATAATAACCTTAATGAGACAATCAAAGTTTTATGTGTAAAGCAAAAATTTTTACATTTTGATTGCTCGTTCGGTTTCTCCTCGCAAGATTTTATCAAGTTCATATTTTATCGTCAAGCTTCAATATTCTTAAGCTTTAAAAAACGTGTTAAAGAAGCATTTTCAAAAAGCACGCACACAAATATAACACAAGTATAACAATTAAAAAACTCTTTCTTATATTTTAAAGATGTAAATAAAATTTTTTTACAGCTACAACGTCAACAATTTTAATTTTATTGAAAGCTAAAATTTTTATTTTAATTCCTAATTTACCACTGATAGATATCTATAAACATTAATAACATAAAGATTCTCTTCTTTTCAAACGTCAAGGTATAGCAAGAGGCCCCTTCGCGGGCCCTACGGCCAAATGCTGGAGGCTGAGATGGCGAAACCGCGCACCACCGATATCGCGCTCGAGGAAGGTCTTCGTCCTCGCAGAAAGATCTCCGCGAATCTCTCGTACAACGCGAGCAGCAACAACAACAGCGGCTCCGAGCCGCCCACGCCTTGCCACCATCGGACGACCTCCAGCCCGACCAAACTTGACGGACTTCCGGGGCCGAGTCCTGAGCTGCTCGCGGAGCTGCTGAGAGGGTCCTCGGAGAGGGTGGCTCGCGCACCGGCGCATCGAAACGTGAGTCAGAGATTATCTCGCTTCGATATAAATTGCCGGTTACAATGCCCCGGCTACATTTCGCCCATTTTTCGCGATACGATGGAGATAAGAGCGAGGGAGGGCCGTAAAGTATCCGCACGATTCGTGCAGCGCATTTGTTATCGAGACATTTGATGCATGCACAATGCACGCTCCTTTTGATTAATGAATGAGCGATTCTGTCGGAAAAGCTTTTCTTGCACATCGCATACGATGTCGTTATATTACGAAAATGTTTTAATTATACGCGACAAAGAAAAAAAGAGGAAAAAAACTGATGTTGGCATTCTAAATCTGCACCAAGGTTTATAAAATAATAACGGTCATTTATTTTAAATTATTTTGTAAAGTATGCTAAAGCCATAAAATTTGTTACATTATTTTTTTAAAAGCTAATTTGCAATAAAAAAAATACATCGTGTCATTCACTCATTTAATATTCTTGTAATATCTCTCCTCTCTGTGGGAGAAATAATTTATTTATATCCAACGCTAAACCATGCATGAATATGACTGACTGGTTCTCGTCGACAAATTCTTTATGTTAAACGAATAAATCTCAGGATGAGACGGTCACATTTCGTCGTTAAATGCGTGGCATGAATGCGAGCCAAAAAATTCTGACTCCGCTTCTTCCTCGAATTTCGCTTCTTTTCTGAATATCGTACAAAGACGCTGATCGCACGGCTTATCACCCTGTATCTCTGGCTCGCGCATCAGCGTTCTAACATCTGGGGCCATATTCTGTTCCGCTAAAATCCGCTTACCGACAATTGTAGGTGTCGTTGCGCAGGTTTTTCATATCGTGTAAAAGCTCCGCAACGACACCGACAATTGTCGGTAAGCCGATTTTAGCGGAACAGAATACGGCCCCTGGCCGAGAGGCCACGAGAGGTAAAGCGCCGGTAAACCGAAATCCCGCAATCCGAGCGAAACGAATGGCCGCGCGCTCGCGCGCCCGTTCGACTCCAGCGCCGAAAACACAATCTAATAATAATATACGGCCATATTTCTCGGATGAGTCCGTGCCTTGGCCAGTGCACTCGACGTTGGTATAGAGTCCCTATACGATTCTGGCGGGGGCGTGTACGCGGATATTCCTGGCGGGTTAGGCGTACCTGGGGACCGACACCACGGTCCTCAACATCGATGCGATGATTCGCGTGCCACGATCATCTTGGTGCAAACTTCGCGACCTTGCGCGGTATATACGCTTATATTTAAATTGATATGCATACCTCTCTTTTTATGTAAAAAAATATATATATATATCTCAAAAATACTTTTGGCGATACAGAGACACGATTTGGGAATTGAACTAGAAATATTGCGGCAATAACATCGCGGAGAACACAAGGCCACGTTGGAATATATCCCGATCCGCTACTGAATTCTAACTTTACGAGGTAATTCTACTTACTACATAATTCTATTTACGAATTATGTCAGATTAAATCTGGTCTCATAAAGAAGTTTAATTTAAGCGACATCGAGGGATAACAGTTTCCAAAATTATGTTATTTCCAGACATTTTCGATGATTTTATAAGTACGCACCATTCCCTCGTACATATTCCGCGGTAGAACTTACGCAATTCTGATGAGCTTATGCAATGCGCGCGTCCCCTATCCAGCACGTTTGCCGTTTGGAAAGAACAACAAAGAACCGCGGGAACGATAGGCCCGTTTTATCCACAAGTCCTTGGCAGCCGCAAATATATCACTTAAAGATGTCGCCATAACTTAGTCACGTTCTCCACGCCGATTAGGAGTCAGACGGATCCTCACGCCGCGGTCAATTTGTTCGTGATCGTAGAATATTGAGCGTGAAATGTTAAAACGTTTGCAGCTATTAGCAATAAAGCTCAATTGATCTCAGCGTTTCAATGTTACTTGCTAGACGTAGCGCGTGAGAACTTCTATATTTACATAAGGAAACTGAAATAGAATCGTGTGTGGCAATCCGAAACGGACATTGCAAATAATTCAATTTAAATTCATTTTCCATGGGAAACGCGTATACGAGTTATATAAAAAAAAAAATTACAGATCTACGTTGAAAAGCTTATTTTCATTAAGATTATTTCCGTTCACGTGTCGTATTAAAAATAGACTTGTAGATATCAGTCAGTCGATTCAACAACGAGGAATGCATTTCTTTTTAGCGGACGAGATATTCCGTGAATTTCTTCACCGGGATTTGAGGCACGGATGAATTTTAATACGAATGGCATTCGCGAACGAGGATTAACGAGGATTTTCGAAGAATTTATATCGTATTGCGACGATGCGCACACAGCGGAAATTAGTCACGGAAAGAAAGCAAGGTTGTGTCTGCTGAGAGAAAGCAGAATTGTTTATGACGCGAAGCGGAATGCATTTACCGCGCGATATCTCTGTGCACGCCAGTTATAGTCATCATCCCACGACGTGCGGAGTTTCGCGCACACATCCTGGTCAGAACCATATTTTTGCATCCGCGACGCGATGGAAATACGCGCTGACCCGGCAGGTATCAATCCGTACATTAAATTTGTACACAGTCGCGTTTTCATCGGTGAGAGAGAGAGAGAGAGAGAGAGAGAGAGAGAGAGAGAGCAGTGAACTATTTCTTCCACGGATACGAGAGACCCTCCGTCGACGTCATGTTTACCGTTGACGTCACTATACGCCCAGGCATCGTGAATTTTGCGTTCCATTCATGAAATCCCCCGGACGAGCGGAGAATGACGTAATACTAAACACCTACCGCCGTGTAAAGCTCACGAAAGCTCGTCGTTGAATACCTCGTAATCCCTTTCAATTTTCACGATTATGCGAAATCCGCGGTCTCTTTCTTATTTCTGTATAGATACTTTTGCATTCTTATCAGATCAATAAATTATTATGACGAAGCAGTATATTGAAATTCAAAGTAAAATATTCGTTTAACTTGTCAATTTTATAATAAATTTGCAAATTGTTTTCTATATTGTAAAAATATAGTTTTATGAATAATTTCATTGAAGAAATGATCTTATCGAGACGATTATGGTACAATTATCGAGAAATATAATTCTGTTCTGTGAAAAATTTCTAAAAAATTTTATGTATAAATTTATACACACGCATATATACATTACATATATACGTATGTTGCATACAGCTTTTATTTTATATATATTATATATATATATATATTTTTTTTTTATTCTTGTACGCCCGAGCAGGGATAAATATTTTATACATAGTATGTGGTATTTTAATGTTTATTTTATTTAAACGTCATATCGATTATTCGATGTACTCGTATACGCTCGTATGCGCTTTAATCATTAATTTAATATTGAAACTGCGAAGCGCGGTAGCGTCCAAAAGTCTCCAAGTATTCCGGTGATGTATGTATTCTTGAAGTAGCAAGTTTTCCCAGACGTGATGGAGTAGAGCCTGCACGGTACCGGGAGTACAAATTCGTTACTTTATCGACAGCATTATCGGTGGAAGTTTAGAGAAACTGCGGCCCCGAACGGCAGAAATTCGACGCGCGCGAAAGCGCGTCGCGTCGCGTCGGCGCGCGGCGAGAGATACACGCCGGAGAATAATGAAAGGCCCGTCGGCCGGTCATAAACTTTCGAACAATAGCGTAATCGTGGTTCCATTGACTGTTAAGAGGTGCGGACGCGACTAGGCACGTAGGTGGTATCGGTAGGTACCGACTTTTATTACTCGCCGCTTGTATCAGTAAGTACATCAGTCTCTCGGGGGAGACCGTAAAGGAATCTCGTGCACGCGCGATATTAAACGCATTTACGCGTTCGATATCGTTGCAGCAATTTCCAAGACTCGGACAAACTTGTCGGTAGGACCTCCTTTAATATCGAAACGATACGAGAATGTTTTCTCATTCGATATCTTTTTATTGGCACTTAGGTTTGGACACGTATCTATTCACTAAGATCTCCTTTATCTCTCAATAATTTTGTAAATATTGATAAAGATGTACGCACACGCACACACACACACACACACACACACACACACACACACAAACTGTATTATTTCTAAACAGTATATTATTTTGTTCTTTGCGCAATATTATTTTATTATTAAATATTTTATGATAAATCTTCGCAGGATTACGACTGAGAAGGCTTTCAGTTTAAAAGTGATGGATATTAGAGAATTTTATTTAGATTGATTGTTCGACGTGCACAAAACAAGAATCACCATAAATCAGCAACGCGTTGCTCTCGCAATACCTTGCGACATTTCGATCGGATCGAAGAATGATCGTGAAACTGCGGCGTGATGCATCTACACGCGGGGCCGCGTGGTAGGCCAGGATGTTGCCGGATAATCTATGAATAAACCGACGAGTGCAGCGCGCGCGCGCGGGCACGAAGTAGTTGCACCATTCGCTGCGGGGCACGTTACTGGGAAATATTTAAATATTTAACTTACACGATGGTATAAACCACTTGGCCGGCTGATGCCTGTAGTTTCGCAAGCGCGGGCACTCGCTGTTGCGCGATATTTAATTCGATCGAATCGACCTTAAGATCGTGCGCAAAGGCACTCTCCGCCTGTTGTGAGTAAACAGAAATGCATTTTCGAGTCTCGCGCGCGCGTTCATGCCTCTGCTCAACCCATAAACGTGCGTAACTTTATTATCGCGCTACGATCACAAACCTACTTGTTTGCATGCACGTTTGCGCAATATTTTATATTGGTAACACTTTCGCGCATATTGTTCTGGAAAAATGCCGAAAACGAATGTTTTAACATCCATTTGCTAAATCAAATACATAAACTTTTTTCTTTTTTAAGTATTTTTATCGCTGTTAGAATATATTATTTATATTTCAGATATAACATAAGATTTTTTTTCTTCTTTTTCTTCTTACTGTAGAACTTTGTCCTGTACTTCGGCGTTAAGGAAACGGGTATCTTTAAGCAATATTTTCTTTTTACGGTGTTATACAACACATACAATACATACAA